GAGTACACCCTGTTTTATAGGTGAGTCAGAAAGCTAGGTGATTCTCATCTGGGGGCTGCATGGGTTGACAGCAGGTTGCTGCAGGTATACTGGAAACAACTGCAAGCCTGTTTTGCTCAGGCCTGGAAATGGTGCAAGGCTATGCCCTCCTCTAATCCCAGGCTGGCCCACTGTGTCTGGCCACTGCCCACCATACATAGGTGCTGGGAACACTCCTCCATATGGATACGGAGGTATCACATAAGGTGGGACCGGGCCAGAAAGGGGAGTACCTGTCATAGGCATTGGCAGGGCTGGAGTGACTCCGGGAATTAATGCAGCTGACACAGGGCCAGGCACTGGAACAAGATATTGTTTCCCCACTCCTGTTCTGACTGAATTAACCTACAAAACACAAAGACACGCAGAAGGATTATGCTCAGGTTGACTGGCCAGGGTCAACACAATATGTTTGCTTCAACCCTGGGAATTCTTTAGGAAGCTGCCAGGTAGACATCTCTGTCTCTAAGAGAAAGCAGTCACCGAACCATGCCTGGGGCCTGGTGCCTTCTAATGGTTCAACCACTCAACCAGGACTTGGGGTTGAGGGGTGGAGAACAAAAACCTTCAGACCATCTTCTCCCTCCTAACTCATAACCTACTTCTTCCCCATGTTCAGGAATTTTGAGAGAGCTCCTCCAGGTATTTTAAGAAGCCAACATCTCACCTGAAATGTCCAGGTGAATGAGACAGGGCCTTCATTTTCAAGGAGGAGAACACAAGAGCGCTCTAATAGCATCAAGCCAAACTGCCATTGTTGGCTGACAGTCCTTTGAACATAAAAGGCTAACTTAAAACCTATCCCTCCCGCACAAAGGATCTCAAGTTTGAAGTCCAATTATACCACAAGATGGGAATGAGCTTCAAGTCCTAGAAGTCAGCCAAAGAACTGTGCCCCTGATCCAGATGCTCATGCTAAAGTTTCCTCAAAAGTCAGGTGAACAGGATACAAAGAAGCAGCCAGCCCCTGTCCTAGAACAACCTTAGGGCCCTGATGGCGGATTGAAGATGGTCTTGATATAAAAACTGACTCTAGTGTACACTTAAAATGGAATGTTTTAGTCTCCCAGCCATGTGTCAGTCAGTAACAAAGCCTGATTGCCTTTGGGGTCTACTTGATTTGAATTTAATGCTGGAAAAGCAATTAGGGTAAACCAGCTTAGAGACCAGTCGCAAGACTGCTGTGTGTGTGCATGGGTTTTTGTGTTCTGTAAAACCTGTTCCCCAATTGATAAATGGTCAAAGGATAGAACAGGGTGTTCTCAAGGGAAGAAATCCAAGCAATCAGCAGCAATAAGAAAACATGCTTCAAATCATTAACGACTAGAGAAATAAAAATAAAAAGTAGCTCCGAGGCTCCACTTCACACCCGTTAAGAGTGAGAAAAAAAGGAACAAGACAAATGTAGAGTGTCTGCAAGAAAACAGGCAAGACCTAGCATAAAAGAGATCAAAAAAGGAAGAAAAGGCCCCCACAGGAGTAAACATTATTTGTAGCAGCATTTTTTTGTACTGGAAAAGAACTGGAAACTAAGGGGGTGTCCATCAATTGAGAAATAACTCAACAAATTGTGGTATGTGAATATAATTGTGCTGTTGTAAGAAATGATTTAAAGGATGGTTTCAGAGAATCCTGGGAAGAACTCTACAATCTGATACAGTATGAAGTGATCAGAACCAAAAAAAAAATTTAGACAACATGATAAAAATGAACACTTTTGAAAGGCCTAAGAACTCTGATCAATGACAATTCCAGAGGACCCATAAGAGAGAAATGATATTCCCCTCCCCACAGATGGACTTGATGCAAAATAGACAAATGGTTTATGGATACGGGCCAATATGGGAATTTGTTTCGTCTGACTATGCATATGCAAGGAGTTTTTGTTTGTTTGTCTGGGGATGGGGGGAAGTAGGAGGGAGAGAAAATGTTTATTAGTTGAAAAAATTTTTATTTTTTAAAAAGTCCTAGCCAGAGTTCTGGTTTATATGGGAAGGAAGGGTCTGTGAGACCAAACAACCTTCACTTGACTATGTCTTACAAGATCCACCCTGGGCAAAAGCCACCACTGAAATAAAATCAAGTCCACAGACTCCAGGTGAAGACACTTGGCTCCATCACCTTACAGCAGTTGATTTCAGTTAGGTGTTAGGAGAAAAGCAAAATAATAGAAGCGACAGTCAAGTGTGAATGACCCATTCCTATGCCGAGAAGGTCATGGGACTGTTTGTTTTCTTAAAACAAACAGCACCAAAGGATTGCCAAATGATGACATTTACAGGCAGCATTAACAATGGGGTAGGATAATTCTGGTAGTGGAGGCGAAGTTGTGGTGGAAATACAAATCACTAAACTGTTAATATTTCTGTTTCTACCCCCTCCCAGTTTAGATGCCCAATGCTGATGCTTTTTTTGACTGGCGTTTTTACAGATTTTTTTTTTGCTCTTTCTGAACCCACTGGTTCTCTAAGGTCACCATGATTTTTCACAAGGGCAACAGCTCTGGGTACTGTCTGTCTGCATGAGTTGTTTTCAAGTCAGGTATTGTCTTGTACTGAAATGGCAGTAAGCTGGTACGTATATTAAAAGAAGGGCTCTAAGAAAATCATTCTTGGTGGAAAACCTGATTTCATACCTTACGCCAACAGCTCTTTCCAAATCCATCTCACATTCTGAATGGCCTGAGAGTTAGGACTGCCTCCCTGGAAAGCTGCCATTGGGGAATGTGTTCAGTTTCAGGACTAGAGATGGATATAGACCATAATCCAGAAAAGCCCATTATTAAAACTTACAATTTCTTCCTCCTCTCCTTTTAGTCCTTCCACGGAAGCTGTCAGAAGGAAAACCACTCAAAACTTTCAGGTGCCTATGTGTATCACCCAATTAAATATTTCATTTTTGTCTAGCTAAATCTTTCCATGGTTTTATATATTAGTTATAGTCCCAACTAAACTGTAGGTCTTTGAGGACAGGGACCATGCCTTACATTCTATTTCAGCCATAGTGCCAATCACAGTTTGAATACAGACTAGGGCCTGAAATTCCTGCTGATGGCTCAAGGGGGCCATATTGAATATTATGGACCTATGTTACTGGCCTATCCTATCTCAGATGTTCCTTTCTTGGTGTAGGGGTCGGGGGGGAAGAGTAATGGGGATGATAATTGTGTTGTCATCTAACAATTACTGGACTCTTCTTGGTCTCTAGCACAGTAAATAGTGGGGAATGCCTTAATGGCCTTCTGGTTCTCTTTGAATGACAACCATGGTGAAAACCTAAAAAAATTACAAAAACAGAATTGGGAGAAATCAGCAAGATTTAGACATTCAAACTTCTTTCCAGCATAGGTTTAGAGAAAATTACTCTTTAGGTCAGTTTAAGCAGTTGTTGGCCAGAGTCCTGGGATTTACGAATAGGACTGCTCCAGTAGAAAGAGATTATTATCAATATCTGGCCTGATATTCTTTTTGTTAGTTTCTTGATCTCCCCATCTCCTTTCCTACAGGCTCAAATCTTGACATTGTTTAGAATTTAACCTGGACTCTTCTTCCTCCTGCTTATCTGTTCAGTCTCTAATTCCCATTTCCTTCCTTTGAAATGCTGAATCTCTCTCTTCTCCCTTTTCATAATAGCCCCCTCCCTAGTCCAGGGCCTCATCACTTCACGCTTGGAGTAGATATAGGCACTAACGCCACCACCTCACCCACACGCATGCCGGTCCCTCTTGTGACACAGACTAAGGCATAAGAGAAGATTCTCTCTCTCAGTTCAACCAGAGACAATGCTGGAGTTTTTCAAAAGGTGTTTTTACTAGGAAAATAAGCAAAAACAAAACAGCAAAACACACAAATTGCAGAAAAGGGTGAATCTGCTGAGCATAGATTTCTGATTCAAGCTTATGTCAAGAAACGGTTTATGGAGCAATCAATCTCTTAGTTCTTGTTCCTCACTTTCACTTCCTTCCAGAAACTCTCTTCAAAGAGAGATTTAGGCAGGAGCAATGCTCACATGCTCTAGCCAGGTCAGACATTAAAAAAAAAATACTGATATTTGTTTTTACATCACTTAGGTTGCTTCTGATCAGGTCACATGCTTTTTTTTGGGGGGGGGGGGTTGAGGCAATTGGGGTTAAGGGACTTGCCCAGGGTCACACAACTACTAAGTGCTAATGTGTCTGAGGCCAAATTTGAACTCAGGTCCTCCTGACTTCAGGGCCAGTGCTCTATCTACTGTTCTACCAAGTTGCTCCAGGTCACACTCTTAACTGTTTAATGTTAGTAGCCCTTTAATTGCTATATGTGATCTTTTCCAGGTACCACCCAGACATATAAGCACCTATCCAACAACAGGGGGCATCCTTCCCTCTTATGAAAGGCTAGGAGATGCCCCCCACCAACTATGTTGGGCAAATACAAATTTTTCAGGTCCTTTTAGAAAAGGAGATTTCTTGATCTCACTACTTTGGAATCAAGTAGAAAGTGGTACCACTATCTGAGGAATTACTAAGATTAAGTCCTAAAAATATTTTAGATCCAATTAATTTTTCTCCTTTCTTTAGATCATCACGTGCCAGTCTCCTTTAGGCAAGCATCTGATGCCTACAGATCTAAGAACTGATGACTCTAGTGGGAATGGGAGGAATGATGGTGGTGGTAGTGGTACTGGTGGTGGTGGTGGTGGTGGTGGTGGTGGTGGAGAGGGTTACCCCTGGTCTAATTGTGGATGAAGAGAAAAGGTCACTGTACTTGAGAGGTGCTGCTAAATTTTGAGAAGAGTCACTTTCCAAATACACATAGGCTCTTTGACAGGATTCCCCAAAAGGTTGAGGATGCAAAGGTAGGATAAACTACAGAACTTATCAAGGTACTCTGTATAGCCTTTCAATGGATGCTCTAATTGTAAGGAGAAACAAAAATGGGCTCATTGCATCCAGCAAAATGAAGTTAATTAGGCAGTCACATATCTATTATTGGTGTCTGAAAGAATCAGAAAAACACACCCATGTATTTATCATCCATTGTAAGGACTATTCCTGAACAGAACTATGTGCCAAAATGACCTTTCTTCTGTTTGGGTTTGTTTGTACATTTTGGATGGGCTGGGGCAGAACAAGGACAAATAAAGTCCTTCCTGGGCTAATTAGTAACAAGCATGCCCCTCTGTCCATCCTCCATGTCCAGGAAGAAGAGAAATGACTATTCTCTATTCAGGAGGTGGAAACTGAATGGTGAAAGGGAGAAGCCATGTAAAATGGCAGAGGTCAACCATAGAGTGAGTCCGCTTTGGAGTTGGAACCAGAAACCATTAATGAAACTCTGGACAATGCTGTTCATAATAAGGTATGTTTTCCTAACCGAAGAGAGAAGCACACTGGGTGAAGAGGGTTGATAGAAGATATGCTACCATGGTTTTTTTTCTCCCGGAGTTCAGTCTTAATCCCTGAAGTGTGGTCCTTGAAGGCACACCAAGAGAATATAAGCTCTTTGGGGTAAAAGACTTTTTCTTGTCTCTGTATCCAAAGTGTCTTACACCTGGTAGGTATTTAATAAACACTTACTGATTGGAATCTCTGGGGAAACAATTTCCTTGAACCTGATCTTTTCTTGAGGGGATGATAGAAGAGATGTGCTATAAACATCTTTCTTTTATGGTACATTGGACTAAAGTGGGAGAGTTAGGGCGGGAGAGGAAGATAGAAGGAAGAAAGCAGGGAGGCATATATTAACCAATGACTCCTTCACCCAATTGCTGTAAATGTTTATCAGAGCAGAAACAACACATTTTAAAATTTAAGCAGCACAGAGAATTACATGTAGAAGGAAAGGAGGAACTTAGGTCACTAAAACTTGGTATGCAGACCACCCCAGATCTGAAGTCAGAGAATCACAGAAGTCAAAGGGATTTCATAGGTCTTCTCCCACCCAACACAGAAGTCAAGTTCTTACATGAACAGGTCACACAGTGTAACTAACAGAAATCATGGACCAGAGAGGCAGATTAAGCAAGATTAGTTGTACATCACCAAACAGTCTTAGGAATTGCAACAGGTTAGTATTATGCAGACAAGAGATTTCAAACAACAGCATGTCTTAAAGAATTGGTTTTAGAGACACAGGACACCACCCCGTGGCTCTCTGCAACCCAGTGAGGTGGATGCCATTCGATGAGAAGGCGTCACTGCTTTCTAGAACCCCTTCCAGGCAAGACCAGGCTCTCCCTTGGCCCTCCAACCCCCTGCAACACTGCATTCCCCAAAGACCACCACTTACGCCACGTGCCTCGTTTTGTGCCTGGGCAGGGTTTGCTCGGGGCTCCATATCTTGCCTTTTCTGATTCTGTTTCAGTTGGTTTAGGGAAGGTTTTATCTGAGCAGCTCCCACAGTTTTGCTTGTCCATTCATCCACTAGCTTGTGCAAATCATCCGTGAACATCCCTTTCTTGTTGTTGCTGTTATTGACTTGTGCCTGGACCTGCAGCGTGGCTGGGGGCACTGGCTCGGGACCTGTTACCAGACTGGTGGTAGAAGATCCTAGAAAATCACACACGAGGCAGGATCAATTATGAGGCTGACACAAGGCGCTCTTTCACTACTTGTGTTACTTTGGACATGAGTCTGCACTGAAGAACACCTTTGCTTCAAGAGTTGGTCTGGAGAAAGGGGACCTTCTCAGGATTTTTTAATCCGATCCCTGATATTTCCCATACTTTGCCTATCACTTAATTCTGTGATGTTGAAGTGTATGACACAGGCCTCCCTCTCTGGGAATGTTGTATCAAGTGTCAGCATATGGGGGGAAGAGAGCAAGGACAAATAGCCTGGCCATTCTTATGGCAGCTTTTCCAGTTTGCTTTTATGAACAGCACCCATCTGTTTTCCCACAAGCTCTTTATCACCATGGTTCAGCGCTCCCTGTGCACAGAGCAAGTACGATACCAAATCTCCAAGCTTGCTGCCCAGAATGGGAACAGCACGGACCTCATGGTTTGGAGTGAACAGAGAAAGAACATGGTAACAAGATTCATATGTCCAGAGGAAAATGCTTATTATAATAGGTCAGATTTTAAGGCCTTAAAAAAAAGTATTGGGAAGGGAATTGGAGGTAGAAGTTTAGCCTTTTTTAGTGTTGGCATGTGGGAACATTTAGGAGGGTGTTAAGCCAAAGAGTAACATACTTTTGTTGAGAGCTGGTGAGGCAGCTTTCCACAAGCATTAAACTTTAACACATTAAAGCAGGTAGAAGGAAACCTGTTTCAGTGCCTGGGGAAATACTTTGTACTGTCATAGGCTAAAGTAGAATGGAGGGTCTTCGAGGGCAGAGACTATTTTAATTCTGTCTATCTCCAGGGCCTGGAACACAGTGAGCACTTCATAAATGTTTTCTGAATTGAACTTAAGAACCATAATGTTTGCTATGATATAATTTCTTTAAAAAAAAATTCTTGGCAGATAATTTCTGATTTAAAATCCTGGATAAGCTGAATGGAAAAGAATGGAAAGTCATCTGATTATGAACTTGCTTTTAAAAAATTTGGTTAAAAAGAGAAAACTGAAATTAACATTTTCAAAATGATTTAACCGGAGACCATCTCTTCAAACAAATAGTTCAGAAACACAATGCACTATATGAGTCTATTTTAGTAATTAGCAATGAACAAGCACAGACAAAGATGCCTACTTCTAATTGGAATTTTTCAACCAATGGTTGAAAAAGTAGTCCAGGTGAACCAGTAAACCATTTACTCCTGGACATCTTTCCTCTTGCAAAGACATTCATTTTTAAAAACAACTTTTGGGGAATATTTATTCTGGTAATCTAGGAAAAGAAGCCAATTAGTTATTAGTAATTTATGGATCTGGGGGAAAAAAGGAGCCCCTGAAATAACTTAGTGGGTAATGACACAAAGAGCAGCAAGGATGAAGGAGCATGAAGCCAGGATGAGGTGAGGAGCAGAGATGCTGTTGTACCGAAGCGGCAGTGACGAGTCAGACCCAAGCAGAATAGCCACTTCCACAGAAACAACATCCAAGTTTATTCAACAGGCATCAATCATAGACATAGTTGTCATTACTCATTCACTCACACAGCACCCAGCCAGCACCATTTTTGCAAGAACATCAATGAAACCCTAATGGTATAGCCAAGAAAGGAAATGAGCCCATGCAATGGAGAAAATATGAAAAGGGGGGGAAAAAAATCAGATAATTACTACTACTGTGCTCTTTGCCTAGGCATAGACGTTTCAGGGTGGACCCTACAAGGTAAAATGATACAAGACACACAGAGTTAGGCAGGACAGTACACTTCTGCTGTACAAGCTACTGTATGTTCAAGCAAAGGTCATCATTATGCAAGGAAGAGCAGACAAAAAGTCAGCAGTTCAGAGAGCAGAGAAAAACCTCAATTAACTGGGCATCCCAAACCCATGTTAGTTAGTGTGCAGGTTAACAAACATTTGACCGAGCACATTATATGCCAAGAGCAATATTAGAAAGCTTCAAGATTGACTTTGAGTTTGACTTTGTGTATGGAAACCCAATGTCTCTATAAGTTTATAAAAAAAAAAAAAATCCCCTTGGCTTTCCAGTACAAGCACTTGGACCCCCGCTCTGATTAGGCACATAAAGCGGTTTAAAATCAGTTACAAGAGCTTATTATGCAAAGGGGACCTAGCCAGTAGTGGGTTAATAGGCTGTAAAGGACAAATTCAAAGTTTCACAAGTCCAAAAAGATACATTGTTCTGTAGGTCTGAGGCCAATTTGGAAAATATTCTAACATCCGAGGGCTTCTAAGAGGTTTGAATATTCTGAATTCAATGGCAAAACGCAAAAGTAATAAAAATTTGCCCATTCTTAGTTCAAGGGGCAAAAGCTGATCTGGAAATAGAAGTTTTATACTCTAGTTTTGTGACATGTAACCCAAAAGATCTTATTATCGGTTCTCTTCTTTTTTATACACACACTTTTAGTATTGGGAGAGTGGGGGAGGGTCAAGAAGTTAACCTACCTTTCTAAATGTTGGACCACTAATGGATCCGTCTTCCTTTAATTTCCTGCTTAAAAACTGCTTAAGTTGTGGGTGAGGGACATTTAAAAGTGAGTTTTGTTAGACATTATAGAGGTAGTGGTGATGGGGGTGAGTGATGTTCACCTCCTCATAAACATGTAAGGGTTAAAAGCAACAGACCAATCATATAACAGATTTCTGCGTATGGGTAAAAGCCCAACTTTTTCTTTTCTTTTTTTCTTTTTCTTTTCTCTTGCAAGATAGGAGTACTTAGTAATTAGTTCAAAGGGCACCTCTCCCTCACTCTGGTTTCAATATCATTTGTCTATATAATGTGCTGTATTTGAGGGTTTACTACTACTTTAGATAGATTAGTTATTATATTAAAGTTATCTGGAAACTATCACTGGGAAATGACTCCCTCTTTATATCTGGAAACTCCCTGAAAGGAGTTAGTCAGACAACACTTAACAACTTTGTTATCTCCCGTACAAAGGCTATGGGGAGGAAATACTCTTATTTTAGAGATGGGATAACAGTGTCTAAGTCACTTTCTCTGAGGTTACTCAGCTAGATTAATAGTAGAAATAAGAACCAAAAGCAAGTGTCTTCTTTATATTTCTGAAACAAATCCTCTTAAGTTTCTAGTTAAAAACCTCATTTAAACCAATGAGTAGAAAATCACAAACCAGTTATGGGATATCATAGTGGGATATTCTAAAAATCAAACAAGATAAATATATCTTCTCAGAGCAAGCTGATAGGCCTTTTTAAGCTAAACTGATGTGGTCTATACCCCAATTCTCCTCCAATGCACAAAAGTAACTTTTGTCCTTAGTTCAAAATGAAGATGCAATTTCTTAAGTCTCTGGAGGTTATAGCTCCAAGGAAGGACTTTTTTATTTTTAAACAATTCACATAAACTCCATGGCAATGTAATTTTTTACATTTTTTACTCTTCTGTTACTATCCAGAGGATTTTTGTTTATTCTTCTTGGACTCAAGTCTAGGCCCTGGGGGGGGTCCAAACTTGAAACACTGGTGAAGGAGGTAGATTGTAAAAAATGGTTGCATATTAGGGAGAAGTCAGAGGGGACAGTATGTTATACTCTTCTGTCTCTACTTTTAGTTGTTTTCTCACCAACTTCATAATGATCATGCTAGAGATTCTCCATAGGGCTCATGTCGGACCACGAGACTCCTAAAAGGACCCCTGAACCACAAATCTCCTTTCTTGGACCCTCTTCCAATGACATGGCTCAAGGGACACTATGATACATCTAATACCACTCTATGAAAAAATGTTGCTTGAGTGATTAATTCTTAGAAACCTGACTCAGTACTTACTTGAATTGATACACACCTCATACTACATTTCTCCAATTATATTGTACGCTCCATGCATGCATGTATTATCCAAAATCTGTATCTTCCCCAACATGTGACACAGTGTTCTTTGCATTAGTGGGCATTTAGTTAATGTGTCCAGTGAGTGAAATGCACTGCCCAATTTTTCCTTTATTATGTGACTAAGTTAGTCATCAATATAGGCCAGAAATCATTCTATCTTCTCATTTGAGTCAATTTAAGCAACCATTTATCAAGGGGCCCACTTGCAAGGCACTGGGGATACAAAGGTGAATGATGACCAGCCTCGACTTCAATTGAACATCTTACCCATTTACACATTGGTGTTGCCTCCAGATTTCCTTTATTCCATGGCTAGTTAATAGCTGATATATCTAGTACTCCTTTCCCATAATGGAAACAAGTCCTAGATCAAAGATGGTTCAAGAAATTCACATAGATCTCATGGTTATTACTATGAAATTACATTGTCAGAAAAAAAAAATTCCTGCTTTAAAGACACTGAAATAGAATTTGGCCCGCATTCCAAATTAATGCTCAGGGAGATGCAATCACATTTCAACAATGAACATTCTGCAAACGACAAACATCTAAACATATACAGGAGCAAACCTAGAGGACCTGAAAGAGTTGCTGCTTCTGGCTAGTCTAAATCTGAACACAGTAGGGGAAGACCAAGAAATTATGTATTATTTTCAAACACATTTATGCAAAAAATGGCACAATCATTTACAAGCAGAGGAGTGTGGGGAGTTTTGCCTTCTTTCCTACCAGTGAATGGAACTGTAGTTAGGAAAAGCAAACCTTTTCTTCTCTGCAGGGCACTGACATTAGGTGTCTTTCAAAGGATGTCAGATCTAGTTTCTTTCTTTTCTTTTTTTTTTGTGAGGGATGGGAAGGGTAGATGGAAGAAGACGACCTGGGAGATGTACCTTTAAGCCAATAGAAGGATTAGGCATCTGAAACCTCTGTGTGTGTGTGTGTGTGTGTGTGTGTGTGTGTGT